TAGACAGTTATCAGGTTGATCAGGCATGATTTCTCCTTTCACCCATGCTGACCGCTCCCAATCACCTTCTTGTCCTTACTATGCTTCAAAATAGTTTCCAGGAGGACTTGCTCCATCACTTTTCCAGGGACTAAGGTGAGTCTGACATCTTGTAGTTCCCCAGATCCTCCTTCTGGCCCTTCTTGAAGATAGAAGTGATGCTTGTTTCCTCAGGAAAGAAGGAACCTCAGGAACCTCTCCTGGTTTCCATGACCTTTCAATGATAATCAAGGATGGCCTTGCAATGACATCCACCAGTCTCCTCAATACTCATGGGTGCACCCCATCAGGTCACAAGGACTTGTGCATGTCCAGTTTGTTTAAATGTTCCTTAACCCGATCCTCCTCCACTGAGGGCAAATCATCCTTGCTCCAGAATTTCCCTCTGATTGCAGAGGCCTGCCATTACTGAGGGTTGGTCTTACGAGTAAGCACTGAGGTAAAGAAGGTAATGAGTACCCTGGCCTTTTCCATGCCTTTTGTCAACAAGCCCTCTGTCCCAGCAGGGAGCAGCAGGCCCAGATTCTGCAGCACGTCCATATTTTCCTTAGTCTTTCTTTTGCTGCTGATGTTTCTGTAAGAAGGTCGTCTTGTTGTGCTTCATATTCCTCACCAGATTCAACTTCAAGTGGGTTTTGGCTTTTCTAACTGTGTTTCTACATGCTTGGACAGTGTCTCTATATTCCTCCCAGTTCACCTGTCCTTGCTTCCACCTCTTGTACACTTCCCTATTAAATTAAAAATTTTATCAGGTATCTTCATCACCTGAAGACAGAGATTCCTGTCTCGATTCTGATACAACTCCATAAATGTATGTAAAAAGGACAATACATTTTTACAATGCTGAAACCATCTCTTGAAAGAAAGACTAATTTGTGATATATAACTTTAAATGTAAGAATGAGTATATATTACATCCTTCCTAAAAGTTCCATTCACTTTATTTGTTTATTCTTCTGAGTTCTTTTATTAAACTACTGTTTACTTACTCTTGCGCTGTTCAGAGCTCATAGAATAGCTAATAGAAATCTCAAAATTGGTCTTGGCATCTTCATATCGAAATGGATGGTTGCCAGCACTGTAATAGAGCACAGCATTTCTCTTCACAAATATGCTGCCATTGAAACTAATGAAAATGTTGATACTAAGTACCCTCACTGATCTTTAAAATTATTTTAGGCAAGACACACTTTCTTAAATAATTTAAAGAAGAAAAAGTTCAGTATGAGGAGACTCATCCTGACTCTTTAAATCAAGCTGATTAAAAACCTTAACTGAAAGAAGTGAAAAAATAGGTTTGAGACCTATGGAGGTATCCTGCATCTTTGGCTCTTCTCTGCCATTTCTGTCTTGATGTTTGAGAATGAGAGCTGAACTGAGTATATTCTAGGGAAAAAGAGTTCATAAACAAAATGAAGCAAGCAATGTACTAATCTATAAAGAGAGAAATTGACCTCAATGCAGTCTCTAACGTTTCTATTGGGGCATCTTTTAAGGTAAACATAGGAAGTGGCTCTACAGTTCCCTTTTATGTCTGGCACTAGTTCTCCTATCACTGCAAATATAGACATATATGTGTGTTTATGTATATATTTCTAATACTTAGCTTTCTTGCACATCTGTATCTATCCATATATGCAACTATCTTCCTAAATCTGGCTTGCCTGGATTACATATTTTCTTCTTCTTTAAAACAAAACCAAAGGTAACACCACATAGAATGTGGTTTTCTCCTCAGTAATAATGACTTTTTGCATAAGGAACATTTGATGGACTAATTACATCATAACATTAAAAGAAGTGAATACTTTGGTACCATTACTTCTTCTACCTGATGCTGTTAGCTATTTTCATAAAATAGAGTTTCTTATTCTACTGCATCTAATTACTATTGTATCTAAGCCTAATACCGTTTATTATAGTGTATAAAGAAGAAGGTGTGAGGAAAGGAAATGGTCTAAATGCCATGTGTCTCAACCTAGGTCATAGTCAGAAGGAAGCTGTCTTGTCCTCTTGATAGAGACAAGGGAACACAGATGTACCAAAGAGGCAGACAAAGCACAACTGAAAATTATATGAAATCATATATGTGATGCTAGAGGAGTGTACAACAGTAACAAAAATAGAATATATGTAGGAAACAAGGGGATATATGTAATAGAAAAATAATCTTATATTTCAGACATACTTTCCACCCATGCTGTCGCTCATAGAAAGATCCCTTCATGCTGCTGGTTACTATGGTGACAAGGACAGCCTAAGAGCCTACTTAGGATAGAAGTGATGTACCGTCTAGCCCATTACTCGAGGCAGTGGGATACTATCAGATAAAAACATCAGTTCAAGAAACCTATGACTGAAGACACCCTCTATAGCTTAGAGGTACCAAAGATCGATTCTTCTTAAGGGAGGAAAGACTGAGCGGATGTATTTCAGCTAATAACGAGCAGACTTATCTATGCATTTTAATTTTAGTTTTTGATACTTCCAAATTCTTTCACAAACATCGTCGCTATGGAGAAATTAATCACTTTGAAGTAATATAGGCCAATATAATGAACCAACATTTTACAATTTATAATATCATTTTCAAAAAGCAAATGTGCAAAGCATCCATTACAATATATGAAACTTGATTTCATTTTCAGAACACTTGTGTGTGTCAGATAGGTCTCTGCAAACTGAGACAAAGAGTTTACAAAAAGAGAAAAGATGGACAAACTTGCAGAAAGACCTATTCCAAAAATCTAAAACCAGAGGGCTATACTGATTTAAGCTATAAATGGAAGGAAGTGGGAAGGAGAAGATGCTCAGAACAATGCATATACAACTTAAGGACTGTCAGACTGCTCCAGGTTACTGTGTGTGTATGTAAAATCTAAGAATGGGGGAACTACCCAGGAATTTTTGAAGTCAAGTTCTGACAGGACTAGACAGTTAATAAGGACATAAGCACTTCGCTATGGAATAAGCGGGAGGCGTGAGGATCTGAGTTTTATACTAAATCACAGAATCACAGAATAGTGTGGGTTGGAAGGGACCTCTAAAGGTCATCTAGTCTGATGCAATGAGCAGGGACATCTTCAACTAGATCAGGTTGCTCAGAGCCCTGTCCAACCTGACCTGGAATGGTTCCAGGGATGAGGCATCCACCACCTCGCAGGGCAACCTGTTCCAGTGTTTCACCACCCTCATTGTAGAAAATTTCTTCCTCATATCTAGTCTAAATCTACCCTCTTTTAGTTTAAAACCCTTGTCTTATTGCAACAGGCCCTGCTAAAAAGTTTGCCACCATCTTTGTTATAAGCCCCCTTTAAGTACTGATAGATTGCAATAAGGTCTCCCCAAAGCCTTCTCTTCTCCAGGCTGAACAACCCCAACTCTCTCAGCCTTTCTTAATAGCAGAGGTGTTCCATCCCCCTGATCATTTTTGTGATCCTCCTCTGGACCCGCTCCAACAGGTCCATGTCTTTCCTGTGCTGAGGGCTCCAGAGCTGGACATAGTACTCCAGGTGGGGTCCCAAAAATATGTATAAAATATATATAAATATAAATTTGTGTTTAGATGGAGTATATACAAGCAACATATCCACCTGAAAAATAGGGAAAACAAGCTTCTCCCATTTCATAGAAGTGTTCTAAGGAAGAATACATAGAGATTCTGAGGCACCTGTGTTGTTCTGGTAAACAACTGGAGTAGACAGGTTAGCTAGACATAAGAATATATTTTTCAATATATAAGATAATCTTACACTTGAAAATGAATTCCTTAGAGATTGCCACAGAGATATATTTAATAAACACTTCTTTTTCAGCACTTGGAAAACATCACTATATAGTAAGTGGTGACAAATGGTGACCCCAAACACAGTACTAATAGATCCCAAAAGCATTGAAACAGAACACTTTGAAAGAACAGAAATATGAAATTAGCATTTTCAATATTATTTTTTCTGCAACATCTCACTGTATTTATTTCATCAGCACCTAGCATGACAAAACAAACAGGATTCAAGTACTATGAATCATTTCTTCCTGTAAACTAGCCTAAGGCATTTTCTCTGCCTGTGCTAGCAATTGTGCTAATAATACAGTAACTGCTTTAGAATAATCCCCTTCATGCTCAGAAACACCAACAATCTTGTATAAACAGAAGAGAAAGGATCTCAAAGCTCTTCCTTAACCAGCTGTAGGCAAGAGACAAGACACTGCACGCCATTGTCTTGTGTGTAGTGGACACATCATTCTGTCATTGATAACAGCATCACTTAACAAGAACAGCAGCAGCACAGGCAGTATGCCTTGCCATAAAACCAGCCTTTCCATTACGTAGTATACATCAAAAATCAAATTAAGGCTACTGATGATCTAAATTCATTAAAATATATATCTATTTAAATTAATTACTGTGATCCAGTAATGGGATTCTTCGACAGGTGGAACAGATGCTGGCTGAAGTAATCAAGTTGTATTCATTGACCTTAGCTCTAATAGCAAAGACATAATTGTCAGATCATGGATTCTGCAGGACATAAACATGGCATGGTGCAATCGTATTTTTACTGACTTTATCCGTAAGATTATCTGTCTAGTCACCAAGTAACTATGTTTAAAACTAGACAGGTACAAAAATCTCACTGGCAAATATTCAATGATTCTTTATACAACACATAGAAAATAATACAAAAATAATATTTAACTGTTCAGCTTTTCAAAGGACATCATCTTCTGTTCCTCTGACTGTAACAAATACTAGTTACATATTTCACCCCCAGTTTCTTCCCCCTCATACTAGCTTTATGCCAGAATAATTTCACAGTCTTTTGAGTTACTTCTGATATACAGAAACCCCATCTATGTAAGAAAGGCATCTTTAGCTATCTTTTATTGCTTGTAAATAATTCAGAATATTTTTAAGGCAATATGTGGCACAGGACAGTTCTTTAGGAGAATGCAGTTACCTGGGTAATACCTAGCGAGGCCAGTTGCGCTACCAAAAACCTGCCATAATAAAGTGGGGTCTTCTTCTCTGTTCCGCTTGAATACATCATCCAATGCTGCAGTCCAATTGAGTTCATTTAACACTATCGTTGCTGCCAAAGACAAAACATATTTGGTATTACAAAGTTACATCCTAACACCAGCAGCAATGACTACAAAAGCAAACTGAACTATTGCAGAAAGTAGTAACATTTCATTTAACTAATCAACAAAGTAAATTTAAAGAAACACACTCCTCTTCCTTGGGAATTTTCTTTAAGTTCCTCATGTTTTCTTCTTCCCATTGCATTATTTGTATGCAATGACTACTGGCTTATTTGCGTAGTCATTTTCTCCTACAAATACTTTGTTTCTGAGATGTCACTCTAGTTGCACTTCCCAGCTATAGAAAAGTAAATGCAAGCCTATAAAGTTGATGTTTCTACTAATCACAGCACACTAGAAAGACTAGAATAACATCAACAAAAGTAGGTGAGTCTCTTACAAAGATAACAAAAATTTCCCTTTCCAAATGGCTGCTGTAAGGAGATTATATGAGAAAAAGACAATGATGAGTTATTTGAATTGTAACATTAAGGTAGGACCACATGCACGGTAGTACTCATTATCGCATGCTAACAAGATCTTAATGTTCGTAGATGTGATCACTTACAGAAAGATCAGCAGTATGAACATTAATATTTATGAGTTGAAGTCAGTTGCACAACGAACTTAAAATACAAGGAAAAACACATTTCAGCTAAATACTATGTGGCCAGTTATACAGAAACTTATATTTGCAAAGTTGTTCTGTACCAATGCTTGTTTTAATCAATCCAATATATTATATAATCAATCAAATATATAATATATTAACATGTTCTGTGCCTTTTTCAAAAAAAGATATGTTGGGAGACACTCTAAAATTGATGAACACTTTTACAGTAATAGTCAATTGACTATAGTCAGTAGTCAATGAAATTTTATTGTGATACAGAATACCTCATGACATAACTTATGATAAATTATGCTTTTCACCTCATTTAATCAGCTGTAAATATCTCATTAAATTCCCCCCTAAAATCTTAATCGTGTTAGGCAACAGCAGGTATTCAGTTAATTAGAAAGAGCAAGGGCTTTTTGTTGGTTTGGTCACGAATTTTTTCTTTTGTGTTGCCTAATGGCATTGTAAGTAAAGTTTCTAAAACTGAAACACCTAGATTAGCAAGCCAAGAGTGGAAAGGGAACTAGAGGGAAAAAAAAAAAAACATTTCAAGACAGTTGAAGATGTAGGTATAAATCCTACGAAAGTCAACACTGTAATACAGATCCTGCTCACACTATGGTATTGCACACAGGAAAGAAAATTCAACTTCTCTTGAAAACGAGCAATTCAAGCTGAAATAAAAACAGTTCTTTAAGGCACATGAGTGGCATCACAGCACAAAATTTGGTATGTGGGTCTACATTCTAGCCCTCTGCCACTGTGAAAAAAGAAACAATAAAAATAAGGACAGGTTGAAAGTTAACATTTGACAGCCCATTTCCAAAATTAGGTTGTTAACAGGTACTAGAGAAATGAGATCACAACATTAAATTTTATAGGCTTGTTTTTAAAGGTTAAGGAGAAAATTGTTACACCATGTATTTTGCAGAAAGGTTTATCTGTTTTTTTCAAAGTAGTTTTAAGATAATATCACTCTCTCAAGATATAGCTTTTTATAGAAATACCAAATTAAATTTCCAACTCTTGAGGTTCCCTGTAAGCAATAAGCTTGTACTATATACCTGTCTCTTTGTCAAGTAGATAGTTATAAATATATATATGCTTACTTAAGAAAGAGGAATATTTCCCTGAGGCACCATGAGAATTTTATTATTGTTTTAAAATTGTTACTGTTACTGTTCAATTATTTCCTTTAGATCCACTTTGATCTACTGTGTAATTAAGCATTATGTACAGACATTCTAAACTTGATTTTGTTTCAGATCTTACTTCCAGAAGTGGCTCCATGAAGTCATTAGAAGCTCTGTCCTTTACTTACTCAGACAAGAATTTCCTTTCGTGCTTGAATTTTTATTTTTTCATGTTACCATTTCCTCATCTGATGTACAGAGTACTTGTCCCAGTGGAAGCCTATGCCGATGGTTCCTGGTAGCATTTAGGGCACTGGAGCTTAGGACACTTACTTAAGGCACATGGGAGACCATAGTTCTTACCTCTTTGCCAGCTGACAAAGCATTTAGTTTTCAGGGTTCTCTGAATTCCTAAGCCCCATAACAATGCATTTCTTTGGCCTTGTGACCTGACTTAAAATTGCTGCAGCCTCTACCCCCAAATCTGTCAGTGACTTTACCACCCTGGTCAGACCACTGACATCCCCATTCAGCAAAACGATTTATCAGGAAAAAAATATTTTTCAGTTAATCATGCTCATAACTGCTTTTCTAAATTGGCGGCTATGCACCCCATGAAAAAAAACTCTTCACATATCATATGTGGTACATTATTTCTAAAGAGAAAATTTCCTTCAGACAGTAAGCTTACTAACAAATTATATTCAGTAAAGACACATTAAACGTATTACTACATTTACAAATACTGTTGCAAAGAGTGCATCATCCAAAAATGTATTGCAAAGTTCTATATATGTATTCGAACCTATGTTTATACACACACACCTGCACATACACATTAATATATATAAATATTTATTAAAAATACATGCACATACAAAAAGGAGAAACTAAGGAGACAATCTACAAATAGTAAAATAACTAAGTACTGAAGTACTGAATGGATATATTGGAACTAAAAATTTCAACATTTTATTAAACTTGTTGAGATTAGGCTATAAAGCAAGAAATATAGCTTACTAGATCTTATTTGTAATATTTGTGGAGAAGTGATGCTTTATAGTCAGTGTCAAGAGTTTTACAATCTTATTTACGTCCCACTTTCCCCTTCCTCCTCTTCCTCTACAACTCTCTG